TCATTGCAGATGTTGTGAAAATTAGGCGCCTGCGGTGGGCGTCTTCAGAGCCTCGCAGGCTGCCGACGTCCCCGCCGCCCTCTCACTCTCATCCGCAGCTGCGGGGTGCTACGGTATGTCATGCCACATGCGATGCACCACCTACACTGGTTCCCACATGAGGGGTGCTGTGGAGGCTGTAGTGGCCTCATTGGAAATCATGTGGACATCCAGGGCCAGGGGCACTTCGAGCAACACCCGAAGCGGGGTTACCCACGCGCGTGCCATGCCTGCGTCGGTCATTTTCGTTCTCTTCAAGGTGGGGCCTCTGGAGCCGCTGGGGCCTCCAGAGCGGCCTCGGGCTGCTGCTTCGCCGGCGTTTTGGGCTTCCTGGCGTCGGCGAGCCCGTAGCCGTTCGTGAAGCGCTTGGCCTTGGCAGCGCCTCCCTCCCATGCAGTCGGGCGGCTCCCTATCCACCAAGAGTAGAAAAGAGAGGAATCTGAAGAGGGAAAAGGAGAGGGAGGGATGGAGGGTGGGGGGGAGGAGGGCGGGGGGAGAGTAGGAAGGTGGAGGAGCAGGAGGAGGGGGCTGCTCTGGAGCCTCCAGGGGAAGGGACGGGCCGACTGGTGACCTGTGCGGGGCGACCACGGCCGCTCACCTGATTTGCCCGAGCTCCTCCTCCTCCTATTCCTCCTGCTGCTCCTCCTGCTGCTCCTCCTCCTGCTGCTCCTCCTCCTCCTCCTCCTCCTCCTCCTCCTCCTCCTGCTCCTCCTCCTCCTCCTCCTCCTCCTCCTCCTCCTCCTCCTCTCTCCTCTCTCCTCTTCCCTCCCTCCTTCCTCCTCCTCCTCCTTCTCCTCCTTCTGCTGCTCTTCCACGGTGTTATCGGAAAACATAAATACAGCAATCCTCCTCTCAAAAGTCCCACAATTTCTTACACAAAGCTGGGAAGCAATGTAACGTCGATGGGGTCGTAGTGCTGATGCAAAAGCGGTTGTATGGCGCTTTCGCTGTTGTGCTGGTGCAGCTTCTTCACCGGATGTGTCTTATAAGCGGTATGCGCATTTCCTGGATCTCGTCACCCCATCTCTTATGTTGTCCACCGTCTCGCCGCCGCTCTTGTAACTTTGCATTGAAATCGAAATTCCAATTCTGGGCGCGTTGCGCCTACCAGGTCGGCGTAGTATTCGCAACTTGCACATCCAGTTCAAGCATTTAGGATATCGTGTTCCGCCATGTGCTATTATGCCCAGAGGGTGCTTCGCTGTATGAGATCAAACCGCTGCTCGATGTCTTCTGGCGTTTGTCGGTTGGCTGGGATTGATGTTTGCACCCGCCGCTTTCGCATGCGAAGTCGTAGTTATGGTTACAGCTCGTATATGTATGGCTGGACAGGTCGTGGTCGCTGCCACGGTGGTCGCTGTTGTGTCGTTGGGGTGTTTGCTGCCTGGGTCGTGGTTGTGCTGGTTGCCTGTCGCTGGTGCGAGATGGTTCGGTGAGCCGCTGTGGCGTCCCGATGATCGTCTGCATTATTCGTCGTTGTGTTCGGCGCTTAGTCAGAATCCAAGTTTGGAAGCCATGCAACATAGTGGGCATGGCGGTGCCATGACAGAGCCGCATTTTGTGGCCAACTCAGGAATGATGCCTGCTTGTTAGCTCTTGTCTGGACTGTGACGCAGGTCCAGCTATTTTTTGTACTACAAATCTGGCGGACGACAGCGAGGGCTAACGAATGATGCTGAGTCTTACCTCTATGGACAAACAACCACGCAGACCTGCACGCCCGATACATACTAAAACGGAGGAGCAGGATGAGATGGAGTGGGCAGGCTCAAGCAACGTGTGTAGTATGCTGTGCTGAGCTTTTGTCGCTGGGGCGTCGTGGAACATGATCGTCTGGCCAAGGTAAGACTCTGTCGACGTGGCACTTACAATATGGACGGCGCATGCCCGGGTCTCGAATTGGTTGGTGGTGATTTTGGTCTCGGGCGGTCTGATGCAGAGACCACCAGGTTTTGCAGGATGAGGGAGGGAGGGAGGGAGGGAGAGGTGGATAAGCGAAGGCGAGATGACGTGAGGGAGGGAGGACGAGGAGGAGGAGGAGGCACGGGTGAAGGGAGGGGGGGTAGAATTTCAAGACGGGGGCGATGATATAGGAGGGAGGGAGGAAGGAGGCGAAGTACTAAAGATGAAGAGGTGCATTAAGAGAGGGACGGCGGAAGGAGGGAGGGAGGGAGGGAGGGAGGGAGGGAGGGAGGAGGAGGAGGAGGAGGAGGAGGAGGAGGCAGCCCCCCTCACGATGCCGACTGCCGATCGTGCGGTGCCCGCCCGATCGGAGGCCAACGGCCTGAGACTCGGACTCCTGCCGGGCCGCCGAACAACCTCGCCACACACTTTCAAGTGCAGCCCCCTCGAGGGGGGGGGCGTCGAGGTCGGGAGCGGCCAAGAGGGGGGTATCCAAGAGGGGGGGGTGCCAATCATGACCGGCGGCATGTGCGCGGCCCAGCGGGGGGGCCAGGGAGGTAACGAAACGAGCAGAGGCGCCATGAAATCTGGGGAAATAGCATGGCCCCCGCCATGATTTCCCCCCCCCCCCCCCCCTAGTCATCCCCCCCCTCTTTCCCGCCCCCGATAGAGGGGGGGGAGGTTCACGGGGTGTATGGTCAAAAACCCCGTCCGCGACGTGGTCGGACTTCTTCGGTCGGGAGGCTGCCGCTGGGGCCGCCCCGCCGGGGGCGGAGGCTAAGCCATCCTCTCCGTGGTCTCGGGCTGGCTCGGGGGGCCTGCGTCACGACCAGTGTGGTGGCGTCGGGGGTCTGGGCAGGTGGGTCGAGGACCCTGGATATTAATAGGGCGAGGTTGAGTTGGCCACGGTCCAGGATGGCGACCGAGAAACGAGGGAGAAAGAGAGAGAGAGAGAGAGAGAGAGAGCGAGAGCGAGATAGCGAGAGAGAGAGAGAGAGCGAGAGAGCGAGAGAGAGAGAGAGAGTGTGCCAGAGAGAGAGAGAGAGAGTGATATATATATATATATAGAGAGAGAGAGAGGGAGCGAGAGAAAGAGAGCGAGAAAGAGAGAAACCAATTTCACATCGAATGGGTCGACTCGATCCGCGCTCCTGTAAGCAAAACTGACCACAGTGAAGGCGAGGGCGCCATGATGCTAGCAGATAGGCGGGCTTGTCTAGAACAACAACGTAGGACGACTATGAAACATCGCAGCGAGTACCCCATGCGTACTGCAACGAGACTCCGACACACTACTAAAGTATTATGGTGTCTTCGCTACCTCCAGCCAATTCCCCCCTCAGGTGTAAGGAGGGCCAACAGGGCCAAAGAGCGCATCTTGTATGTATCCTGGCGCTTCTTGCACTCCTTTCATCGAACCTAGGGGTCACTGGGAATTCTGGCGGTTCGTATCAGGGCGAATTCGTATAGTGGAACACAGTGTGGACAAAGATGCGCTCTAGGCTCCGCTTTACTGGCCTCCTCCTCCTCCTCCTCCTCCTCCTCCTCATCATCATCATCATCATCAGTGTTCGGGGATCTTCTGACCCGGGTCAATCCAGTCCTGGGTCAGCAGGAAACCAAAAAACTCCAATGCATGACAAACAAACTGCAACGCAGGTCTTCGCAAACCCGGGTCAGCCAACATGCGCGGCCGCCTCGCGGCCACGAGCGGCTCGCTGACCCGGGGGTCAGCCAGAGGGGGTCGTCGCAGGATCCTGCAGGATCCGGTGCCCCGGCCGGCCCCCGTTTGCACTGACCCCCGTCTCTCGAGCCCCGACGTGTTCCCAGCGTGCGTTCTTCCGGAGGGCCCGCCCGCCTGGTATGCATCCTGGCGGACGAGCGGCCCGCCCGCTCGACGGCCTGACCCGCCCGCTCACGCCCGCCCACCCGGCCCGCCCGCCTGGTGCTGCCGCCTCTGCTCCCGCTCCCGACCTCCCTCCTGCCAATCTGTCTCGTGCTCCATCCTGCTCCCTCCCCCTTGTCCCTTCCCTCCTCCCTTCCCCCTTCCCTCCCCCTCCTCCCTCCCCCCTGTTTTTCAGGGGCTGCGTCAACTGCAAGTGGCAGGCTGGGACGATCTATCCCCAGGGAGGGGCAACGATCGAAGACGAAGAAGCCGGGTATCGAGGGTTCTGGATATTCATGCTGGGTGACACGCGAGCAGAAAAGAGCGAACGATGTTAAAACGAATGCTGTTGTCATCGTCCCCACCCCAACGACCCACCCGCGACCCGCCCCGGGACCTACCCGCACGCTCCCTCACTCCCACCCGCAAATGACGGGACGCCGCGCGCTTCTCCTCTGGTCGGCGGATTTAGGGCCCTCTGGGTGCTCGGCCATGTACTCGAAGGGGTCCGGCGGCTTCTCCTTGATCACGGTCTGCAGGACGGCCTGCACGAACGGAAGCAGCTGGTGGCCCTCCAAGTATCCGCAGCCGCGCCCTGCGGCGGCCACGGCGTGTCCAGGCCCCTGCGCCCTTCCCAGCTCTTCAGTGTTGGGTTCTCGCCTTGCACACCGCATTGCGTTCGCGTCTCCTTCCCCTCCTCCTCATCCTTCCTCCTCCTCCTCCTCCTCCTGCCCTCCTCCTCCTCCTCCCCCTCCTCCTCCTCCTCCTCCTCCTCCTCCTCCCGCCTCCCTCCCCCTCCTCCCTCCTCCCTCCTCCCTCCTCCCTCCCTCCCTCCTCCCTCCCTCCCTCCTCCCTCCTCCCTCCTCCCTCCTCCCTCCTCCCTCCTCCCTCTCCCTCCTTCCCTCCTCCCTCCTCCCTCCTCCCCCTCCCTCCTCCCTCCTCCCGCCTCCCTTCCTCCTCCTCCCTCCCTCCCTCCTCCCTCCTCCTCCTCCCTCCTCCCTCCTCCATTCCTCCCTCCTCCCTCCTCCCTCCTCCCTCCTTTCCCTCCTCCCTCCTCCTCCTCCCTCCTCCCTCCTCCTCCTCCCTCCTCCTCCTCCTCCTCCCTCCTCTTCCCCTCCTCCTCCTCCTCCTCCGATCCTCCTCCTCCTCCTCCTCCTCCTCCTCCTGCACCCTGCAGCCGTGTCGGCCCAGGCATGTTGCTTGGACGTGCCAGCGCGCACCTTCGACGCGGCTGGCGCGCCAGCGAGCCTTCACGGCAGGGCGCCGCCCGACGCGGCCGTGCGGCAAGTGTGCCAGGCTTCACGGGACGTCGTTTGCAAATTGCGCTTTCACATCGGCGTGTCTGCGGTGTGGGGAGCAAGCGTCCAGAGGAGTCATGGACAAGCAGAGGCAGCACCGGAGGTCAAGCTACAGGGCTCCATGGCAGAAGAGCCGCTGGGAGGAAGGACCGCCTCCCAGCTTTTGCCGCCAGAATGGAGAGGCATGGACTTGGAAGTGGGATGGGAGTATTCCAAGCCCGACAAAGACCGCGAGAAGAAGGACTCCGTGGACAATGGCGCAGCCAATGCGCTGCTTGGGACCGTGGTGAAGGCACACGGAGAAGATCGTAAACAATGGCCAGCCTAAGCTCGAGACCTGGTTCAGGTGCGGGACAAGGTGGTGGATGCCGAAGCAAAGGCAGAGCCGCAACCAGTGGACCACACCAAGCTCGCCTCGTTCCAGCTGGGGCAAAGGCTGGCGGACACCAACAAGAACCTGAATAAGGCGGACACAAATATGCCAATCCCGCTGTCAGATTTTGCGGCAAGGTGGCCAACATCCAAAAGGAGCTGGGGATGCAGGCGCTGCCTGGAAAACGACGGGACTACGGGCTCCGCCCCCGTGGGGGCGAGGAGGAGGGGGAGGTAGAGGAGGAAGGGGTGGAGGACAAGCCAAGTGCGCTCGCGTCATATCTGACGTCTTACCCTCCCTCCCATCCCTTACCATTGCGTAGATATCTCTTTATTCGCACAATCGGATGTCGAGCAGGGCAATGATCGCGAGAGGGTACGCGATGCATGGTAGAGCACGGCATGGCATGGCGTAGAAGAGCACGGCAGAGCAAATCATGCCATAGATGGCGTGGCATTGTACAGTTAAACGTTTCATCACAAAACATTGCAACACACAACATGGCATCGCACAACGACACAAAACCCAACACCGCACAGCACGTCATGGCATGGCGCCGGGTTCCTTGGAGGGTAATTGGGTCGTCTTCGAAGGGTCTGGGCTTGTCTGGAATCGCGGCTCCATGTTTAGCTCCCTGGCTCCCCGAAAAGCTCCCCACAATGCGGGGCTGATGGAGAGCACCCGCTGGCTCTGCTTGCATCATCGCCTTCTCAAATGAGAAGCGGGGCTCCCGCTTGATACTCCCTGAAAGCGACGACGCCCCAATGTGGGGGGGTTCTGTGGCCCAAAAAACCAACGAACCGACACCGAATGTGTAATCACTTCCGATGGTTTTTTGTTGGGGGGGCCATTCTCTAGATTTTGAAGCCTCTTTGGAAAGACTGAGAACCATGCCGTGGCCTGGGGCTGAAAATAGTAACGCCAACGCTGCAGCGGGAGCACGATTCGGAACGAGCGGAAGCGCGGAGATGAGGCCAGCGCTGCAACGGAAGCACGATTCGGAACGAGCGGTAGCCCGAAAATGAAGCCAACGCTTCAGCGAGAGCAGCATTTTGAGACAACAAAGAAAAAGCGAAAACCCGTTTCCCGGGAAACCAATGTAAAAGACTAGTGCGCGGAAGGGGGGCCGGATATTGCCCGGACGTCACCAGGGGAGAGAGTAGTACTCATATTGTGTAAAAGTGGAGGAGGAGGGGGAGGAGGACGTGGAGGAGGAGAGTAGGCCCTCGAAGCCGTGGGGAAACAGATGGCCGAGCAGAAGAAGACGCAAGCCAAGGTTCGAGCAGACGCTGCCGCTCCTCCACCTGCTGCTCCGCCTTTGTCCCTGCCGCTCGGCCTCGTCCTGCTGCCGAGGGTGATGGTGACGCGCCGATGCAACCGCAGCGAGGAAACAACCTGCCTGGCAGATTCCGGAAACCCCTGAGCCAAAAAATCAAAAAATGCTGTCATCTCTCGGGAGGTCGACTTTCGCTTCCGCGAGGAGGAGGAGGAGGAGGAGGAGGAGGGGAGGAGGAGGAGGAGGAAGAGGAAGAGGAGGAGGAGGCGGAGGCGAAGGCGGAGGCGGAGGCGGAGGAGGAGGAGGCGGAGGCGGAGGAGGAGGAGGCGGAGGCGGAGGAGGAGGAGGAGGAGGAGGAGGAGGCGGAGGCGGAGGCGGAGGAGGAGGAGGAGGAGGAGGAGGAGGAGGAGGAGGCGACTTCCACCGAGCTTCCGCCGAGCTTCCGCCGGCGGATCCGCCGCCGTTGTACGCCCGCCGCCGTCCCCCGACCTTCCGCCGCGGACGAGAGCTGGCCCTTTTGATCCTCGAGGGCAGGGCCCGTTCTGGAACGCCCCGCCTGTACATTTTTGTTGTTGTTGTTGTTGTTGTTGTTGTTGTTGTTGTTCTTGTTGTTGTTGTTGTTGTTGTTGTTGTTGTTGTTGTTGTTGTTTTTTAAGGGGGGCCAGTTCACGCTGAGTTCTTTAGTTTGCCTGTCGGAAGATGGTGGGCAGGACGCCCAGCAGTCCAACGTGGAACGCCCAGGCTGTACCAGATGAGGACGGCTCCCGGCAGCTGTTCGAGCAGCAGCGGCTCACGCTGGACGGAGTCACCGATGAGGGCGAGATCGAGAGGATCGATGCCGAGAGGACACGGGTCGTCGAAGCTGTCACCGCGCGCAGGCCCTGGCGAAGCGGAGAAGAGCATCGCCCCCAGCCCCCAAGCCGCCGACTGGTTCCTGATGGGGTGTGTGCGTGCCAAGGGTGCAGCCGCTGGGGGCAGGCCTCTTCACATTAGGGCCTGCCAGGTGAGGTGGGCCAACTGGCACTTCCTGATCAACGCGCGTCGCCGAGGGCGTGCACTGAGGTGGAGGACTTGGAACAGCCAGCACCTCTAGGACCTGAAGCAGTGGATGGTGGCGTGCGCAGCACACGGACGCGGAATATATTCTCAGCAAACATCACTTCGGCTCAGAAGAATGCTACCAAGCTAGCGACGTTGGCTGATGAGGTTCTGGAAGTGCAGCCAGAAGTGGACGGCCTACTCGTGCAAGGTAGCAATATCTTCAACAACGGGATCGCCGACATCATCATCAATATCATCATCATCATCATCATCATCATCATCATCATCATCATCATCATCATCATCATCATCATCATCATCATCATCATCATCATGAGTGTAATTGCAGGAGCTGCAGTTGTGACAAGGCAGGGTCGTGCTTCAGCTACGCCGCCTAATATGGAAGGAGTTGAACCACCATCGCCGAGATTGACCGTTCAATGGGTGGGCTGTATACTACTTGGTGGTTTCCTGCTGGGGTCCATCTACCTAGTCTCTGGGCACATGATGAAGGAGGTTGAGGGCTTGATCGAGATAAGCATCTTGCAGTGCTCTGAGCAGCTCAGATATTGGTTGGGCGGCCCTTTAAAATAGGAGGTGCTTGGGACACGTCCCCGAGAGGCCTCATGAAGCTCAATGTGTTGGAAACTATCCCCGCCACTGGTGCAGTGTCACCAGAGTGGAATTGTGCTGCGGGCGCTGGGAGGACCCTCGACTATTTCGTGATCAGCAAGCATTTCAAGAGTCTGGTTCGAGGAGCCACGGGGATGGAAGGGGCCAATCTAGCCGCGCATTGGGAAGTCATGACCGAGATTTGGGTCAGGACCTGGTGTCAGTCTTGGGCAGCAACTACAGGGCGCACAAAAGCTCCCGAAGGTATGTCCATTGGGAGTTGCTCGACCATCACCATCGTATCAGAAAGTCTTGGATTAATGGCGTGAGGCAAGAGGTGCTGGAAGCGTGCAGTGGTGCTATACGACATGGGCACAGCTTGCGGAGGCAGAGTTCTGTTCCAGGTGCCAGCTCGACGATCGGCAGACCAATTCAAGATCAAGCACAAGGAATCTTGCTCACCCTCAGGTCCAGCCGGTGACAGCTGTTCGACAGTCGCGAGGACATGGAGCTGAAAGGGATCCAGCATCCACGCATGGCAGAGAGCTGCTATGGTTATGGTTGACCTGATACATGTCCTGAGGAGAAGCTGGATGGATCCGAACCAATTTGGCCATGACAAATGTGCCACGACCCCCGAACTCCGCAATAATACCATCAACATGGGCGGCCACGAAATGAGTTGGGATGAGGACTGGCTGCGTGATGCAAGCTAACTCGCAACACACGAGGTCATACATGCCGTGGTTGAGCTTGGAGGAAGAAGGTTGCAAAAGCTGTCGAACAATAGTATGGTAAGGTGCATAGGTGCAATAAATCACCCTCAACTTGGCAACAGGCCGATGTACAGTGCGATCATGGCATTGCATCACAAGCATCCCAGCTCGACGCAGACATGACGGAATGGAATAAGATATGGAGGTATGACGCGGAGGAGGCATCCTTTGATGGATGTCTGAGGCTTGCAAATGATGTGGAGCCTGCGCCTGAACCGCTGGAGGCAGAACACATTCGGAGCTACGACGCCGACTGGCATCGACAATCTCGGACCCAGGAACATGGCCATGCAGCCAGACGAGAGTCTCACGACTTTCGGCATCGTCATGAGTGTGGCCGAGAGGATACAGGAACTGTCGCTGCAGATGACCTCTACCATCATGCCCAGGCTTCTCAAACCTGAACTTGGGCATAGGCTCGTCGGAACCTTGGCAGACACGATCAGGGTCTAAAGCGAGCACAGGACGTCGGATCAGGATGTTTGGTTGGCAGCGAACGGAAGAAACTATCATCATGCTACAGCAGGGACGAGCTCGGAACGGGCATTTTGGACACACACTCTCTCTTTGTTGATGCAAGCAGAAACTTCAACCAACACTCTGTGGCGGTGATGCTGGACCACAAGAGAACTTTCGAAAAGATACCGCATACTAAACTTTTGAGGGGTGACTGCCCACGGAAGTTAGCAATGGAGTCGTCGCTGGGTGCACCTTCGCGACCACGAGGATGCTGCTGATGACTGGGGGTGCACGTCCAGGTCCCAACGATTTGGCCGTCTCGTACAATGGCGGTGGTGGTGGATGCTGGCAGCCTTCAATCTAATGGCGCTGAGAACCAAGCGGCCAGGACAGCGACCAGATCGACGAAATTGTTGCGCAAGCATCTCATTGCGTTTGGGCTGGAGTTGAGTCCCTGCACAAGGTATGCGATAGCAACGTCTGCGAAACTGGTCAAGAGGCTGTGTATTGCCGTGAAGAGCTACATACTCCAGAGAGGACGAGTGGTTTGGCAACTCGGGCATAACAAGAGTCTGTTTGGGGGTGGTGCTGCCGCTTTCCAGCGCACACGGATATCCGCGGTGAGGAGGACGATCAGGTTTAGGAGTCTGGCGCATGGAGGAAGTCAACTTGGCCGACTATATCGAAGTGGGGGTCTTGAATCAGTGGCATACACGTCAAAGTGCATGGGATGTCGGACGCACAGCTGTGCACTGTTTCGTTTTCGCTCATGCTTTTTCCCTCGATGGTCCAGGATGCTCCTCGATGCTCCTCGCTGAGAAAGATGCCCACGTCCGTGCAATGCCCAGATGCACACACACACACACACACTTTCGAGGGTCCACGCGGATTTCCTGGGTCGTGGCTGGACCCCCCTCCCTGGCGCGCGGAGCGCGCCAGGGGCGGCGCTCCAGGCGCCGCCAATGGGGGCAAGCTCCGATCCAAGACGTCGGCGCGGACTTCGGGAAGCTGCTGTTCACGCAGATCCTTGCTCATCGAAGGAGGCCCTGCGCTTCCTGCCCACCCGCGAACACTACGAGCGGCGAGCGTATCCGTATCCACGCCCTCGCGGTCGGATTCCGCGGCGCGGTTCCGAGGATGCGCATTCCCACGACTGCGCTGCGCGTGGGGCATCCGCGAACCACCCCCCCGTGTCCGCGGGGCTGCGGCCCAGGGGCCCGGCCCGCGCGGACCCGAACACGGCTGGCTCGCCCACGGGCACATCAACAGCAACAACCGTGAGGCGATCATGATGCCACGCTACGATTGGCTCAGGAGGCGTTCCAGCACCTCCAGGAAGTATCTGGCGGCGCAGCCGGTGAGGAACATGAAGAACTTCGGCGGTAAACAAACCCAGGACCGAAACCGACGGATCTGGACACCCTTGAGTGAAAACGGCCTCGGACCGAAACCGACGCACCTGGACCCGCGAAGACGACGGCCGCGACGCCCTCTCGCGCACCGGAGACGGCCACAATTCGCCAGTCGACAGGTCAGGGTAGGCGGCCGATCAGCCTCCGAGAACTGCTCATGTGAAGGGGCCCTGGGACACACAAATAAATACACAGAAATAAAAGGATTCCCCTTTTTTGAATAATATATTTTCCTGGGGGTCGACGATTCATTGTGTCTTTGTGTATTTTTCCCCTCCTGCTCACGGGGACCCCCGGGAAGCTCTGGAGATCCTGGAGCGCCTCATCCTCGTTCGGGAGCGACCAAGAGGGGGGTGTCCAAGAGGGGGGGGTGCAAATCATGACCGGCGGCATGTGCGCGGCCCATCGGGGGGGCCAGGGACGTGATGAAATACATAGCACCCCGCAATTGCGGATAAGAGTGAGTGGGCGGGCGCGGGCGACGCGGGCGTCGTCAAGCCGGCGGACCTTGTGGCCCCCACCTTCCCTGTCGATGGCGCTCTCCTCCTCCTCCTCCTCCTCCTCCTCCTCCTCCGCCTCCTACTCCTCCTCCTCTTCCTCGTCCTCGTCCTCGTCCTCATCGTCATCGTCGTCCTCCTCCTCCTCCACTTCGTCCTCCTCCTCCTCCTCCGCTTCTTCCTCGTCCTCCCTCTCCCCCCCTCGTCCTTCCATCATCGTCCTCCCATTGTCGTCATGTTCCTCCTCGTCGTCCTCCTCCTCTTCCCCCCCTCCCGATCCTCCACCCTCCTCCTTTTCGTCGTCGTCGTCGTCGACGTCATCGTCGTCGTCCCCTTCCTCCTCCTCCTCCTCCTCCTGCTGCTCCTCCTCCTCCTGCTGCTCCTCCTCCTCCTCCTCCTCCTCCTCCTCCTCCTCCTCCTCCTCCTCCCCCTCCTCGTCCTCCTGCAAAAGCAGCCCGCCGCAGGCGCCGAAAAAATTCGTTTGTACACTGAACGTGGTTTGGGTCGCGGGTGGGCCGCGGGTTCTCTACCGGGAAGAATGCAAAAGATGCCCGCCGCAGGCGCCGAAAATGTTGGTTTGTACCCTGAACGTGGTCGCGGGTGGGCCGCGGTCTCTCCACCTAGAACGAATGCAAAAGATGCCCGCCGCAGGCGCCGAAAAATGTGGTTTGTACCCTGAACGTGGTTTGGGTCGCGGGTTGGTCGCGAGTTGATCGCGGGGTGGGTCGCGGGCTCTCCACCTGGAAGGAATGCAAAAAAAGCCCGCCGCAGGCGCCGAAAATGTTGGTTTGTACCTTGAACGTGGTTTGGGTCGAAGGTGGGTCGCGGGTGGGTCGCGGGGTGAGTCGCGGGTGGGTCGCGGGCGGGTCGCGGGTGGGTCGCGGGCGGGTCGCGGGTGGGTCGCGGGGTGGGCCGCGGGCGGGTCGCGGGGTGGGTCGCGGGTGGGTCGCGGGTGGTCGCGGGTGTCGCGGGGTGGGCCGCGGGGTGGGTCGCGGGTGGGGGTGGGTCGCGGGTGGGTTCGCAGGGGTGGGTCGCGGGGTGGGTCGCGGGGTGGGTCGCGGGTGGGTCGCGGGTGGGTCGCGGGTGGGTCGCGGGTGGGTCGTGGGGTGGGTCGCGGGTGGGTCGCGGGGCGGGTTGCGGGTGGGACGACGACAACAAACAACAACAACAAACGACAACAACAACAACAACAACAACCAACAACAACAACAACAACAACAACAACAACAACAACAACAACAACAACACCAACAGCAACATCAACAACAACAACAACAACACCAACACCAACAACAACACGAACAACAACAACAACAACAACAACAACAACAACAACAACAACACCAACACCAACACCACCACCAACAACAACAACAACCAACAACCAACAACCAACAACCAACAACCAACAACCACCACCAACAACAACAGCAACAACACCAACAACAACAACAACAACAACAACAACAACAACAACAACTCTAACAACAAAACGAATCCGCACCGCGGAATCTCACTTCAGCCACGCACCCAGGGACAATGAATGACCGTTCGGCCCCCTCACTCTGACGAAGGGGCGCCATGAAATCTGGGAAAAAATCATGGCCCCCGCCATGATATCCACCCCCCCCTAGTCATCACCCCCCTCTTTTCCGCCCCCGACTCGTGACCTCCGGCTCTCCCCGGGGCGCCCACGCCCCTGGGCGGGCGGCGGGCGTGCGCGGCGGCGCGCTTGGGCTTCCTTGGCGCACCGGGCGCCCGCCGTGAGCTCCCGCTCGTCCGCCTCCTCTCGGCGGCACGCACGCGGGGGCAGATTCCCTGACCTTCCAAGAGGGCTAACAACATAGCACGCGACGTAAAAACCTATCCCAAAGCTATTCTGCGTCTAGGTTTTAGGCTGTTTCGCTAATTGTTTTTGGTGTTTAGGCCTCCAGTGCTAAAACATAGCTCTCTGGAAGGTCAGGGTTGGGGGGAGGGGGGAAAAGGCTTCTCTTGGAGGGAGGCCGCTTCTCAGAAGGCGCGGGCCTCACATCCAGAAGAGCAGGCCCGCGCCCTGCGAGAAGCAGGGGCGCCTCCTGGAAGCCTCCCCCCCCCCTTCCCCCCCGCCCCCCTCCGCGCGTGGCCGCTCCTCGCCGTCCGCCGCCGGCGGGGCCCCCGCGCCCTCCGCCACCCTGCCGATGCCGAGCTCGAGGCAGGCCCCGGCGAGGCCGTCGCCGCCGAACTCCACCTCTCTCGGGGGCGCCGCCGGCCGCCCGCTGCTGCTCGTCCGCTCGCCGTCGTCCGTCGCCGGTGGCCGCTCGCCGGCGCTGTCGTCGCTGTTGCTTGCCGTTCGTCGTCGTCGTCGTCGTCGTCGTCGTCGTCGTCGTCGTCGTCGTCGTCGTCGTCGGCCGTAGCTCCTTGCGGGTCCAATGCTTGTCGGTGTGTCAGTCGGTCGGTCGCCCCCCCCGCCCCCGCTCCGTGGAGCATCTGCTGCTGTTCTGTCGACCTGCTTCCCGAGCCACGACTGAGGGGGCAGGATAGGCTCGGGGGGAGGGGGGGAAGCGTTGACCTGGAATCGGCGATGCATCGCCGACAGATCAGCGATAGGCTTCCGAAGGCGAAGCCGCATGCTCGTGGGCATGTTGGGGCACCCCTGCCCCGGTCGGCGAGGAGTGGGCGATCGGGGGTCGGTGCTTCACCCCCCGGGGCTAGTCCCACCCTGTCGGGGCCGCGGGACGCTGGCTACACGTAAAAGTGACCCTGGGCACGAATGATCGCTGGTGCGCGACTTTTTCGGGGGCCGCGGGGAGGCCGAACCGGAGCGCGCAAGGCGCTGCCATCGCATCGCAGTCAGCCACCTGGGGGTCCCAGTGTGACCGCGCCAAGGGTCGCTCCAGCGAAAGGCCACTCTTAGGTATAGCCGACTTTGCGACGCCAAACATGATTTTAACAACAAAACAAATGTTCTTAGAACATATGTACGCCCGATGTGCAAAAACAAGACAGTCTCAGCCAGACAACTTCTAAGAAAATGTCGCGCAGACCGCAACAAAAAGGTTCTTAGAGCATCCTGTGGTGGGCCTATAGCGAAGCCAAGACGCTTCGCCACTGCTTGATACTTCTCGGGGAGACGTAAGACTCGGGTACGGGGGACTCGGGTTGGCCTGACGGGGCCATCATAAAAATGACGAGACCCAATATGAAATTTGACGCGACCTCCCGCTGCAGACATCCCACGAAAACTGAACCGTCAAAATCCAGGACGCGCTCGTCAAAAAATGTCGGCAGACCCGAGTTCCTGCTTGCTCGAGACTTACGCTTCCCCGATCCTGGGGCCCATCTGGTGCATTTTTTCACACCGGATCCGTTTCTGAGGGTCCCGGGGGCCCGACCACGGCCCTTCCCGAACCCAGAACCTTGAATCTGCCCCCCCCCGCTAGGGCCCCAGTGCGCCCGCACCAAGGGTCACTCTGGCGAAAGGTCACTCCTACGTAGGATCGAGGACGGCGTGGCCGGCAGCTCCTTGTGCAGTCGGGGCTGATTCGAGAGGACGCGCGAGAGAATACAATACCCTTCCGAGGGCCACATTGCCATAGGAATGTAGAGGCAGCCCCTGAGATCTGAAAAAAAAAAATGAATCACGCCTGGAGCCCTAGACCTCCTCTTTCTGCATCATTTTCCAAGCCAGATCGATCTGTGAGGGTGCCGGGGCCCGAAAAAAGGCCAGACCTCCTGGCTCGAAAACATCGGCACGCCAGGATCTCAGGGTGTGCCGCGAAGCAAAGACAAAAAGGGTACTCTTGACTTGGCAGGCTCGACCTGATTATGAATCTCGATTGTTCATCACGAGCGACATGAGTACGGAAAGAATTTGTACGATGCCCAACAGCAGCTGCTGCTCATTTTGAACAGGACTCGCTGTCTGCGCCGCTGCGGACGTCGTCCATGGTAGGCAGAATGCCGCCTGTCCAAAAGCCGCCACTGTCGGTTTTGAACAACATGTGTTGTTGGGCATCGTACCCATATTTTCCGTATCCAATATTCGGGCGTCCAACATCGGGATCCGCCAAAATGGTGGTGACCCTGGGGGGGGGCATGACTTCGATTCGCTGGTGCACCGAACTGCCGCAAACAGATGCCCCCCGCATGCCCCACCTATCGGCAACCATCGGGAGCTGCCGCCGGCTGGGGGAGCATCTGTCTTGGGCGGTCCAGTGCAAATCCCTATCGAACTCACACACATTCACACACACCACACACACCACACACACCACACACACCACACACACACACCACACACCACACACCACACACCACACACCACACACCACACACCACACACCACACACCACACACCACACACCACACACCACGCACCACGCACCACACACCACAAACCACACACCACACACAACACACAACACCACACACCACACACCACACACCACACACCACACACAACACACAACACACAACACACAACACACAACACACAACACACACAACACAACACACAGCACACAGCACACAACAAACAGCACACAACACAAAACACACAACACACAGCACACAGCACACAGCACACAACACACATCACACAACACACACAACACACAACACACACACCATACAACACACAACACACAATACACACCACACAACACACAACACACAACACACACAACACACACAACACACAACTAACAAAACACACCACACAACACACAGCACACACCAAACACCACACACCACGCACCACACACCACACACCACACACCACACACCACACACCACACACAACACACAACACACAACACACAACACACAACTAACAACACACAACACACCGCACACAACACACAACACACAACACACAACACACAACACACACCACACACCACACAACACTCAACACACAACACACAACACACAAACACAACACACAACACACAAACCACAACACACAACACACAACACACACACACGACACACACACACAACACACAACACACGACACACGACACACGACACCACGACACAACAACACACAGCACACAACACACAACACACAACACCCAACACACAACCACAACACACAACACACAACACACAGCACACAGCACACAGCACACACCACATACACACACACACACCACACACCACACACACCACACACACACACACACAGCGCACAGCACACAGCACAGCAGCACACAGCACACAGCACACAGCACAGCACACAGCACACAGCACACAGCAAACAGCACACAGCACAAAGCACACAGCACACAGCACACAGCACACAGCACACAGCACACAGCACACAGCACACAGCACACACCTCACAGCACACAGCACACAGCACACAGCACACAGCACACAGCACACAACACACAACACACAACACACAACACACAACACACAACACACACACACAGCACACAGCACACAGCACACAGCACACAGCACACAGCACACAGCACACAGCACACAGCACACAGCACACAGCACACAGCACACAGCACACACCACACACACACACGGGGCGCCTCCCCCGTTGAGCAGGGACCGACCTTCCTGGCATTCCTACAGGCCTACCACGAAGTGTTCTTTTAAGCCAAACATGGTTTTAACAACAGAACAACTGTTCTTAGAACATACGCCCGATGTGCTAAAACAAGACAGTCTCAGCCAGACAAGTTCTAAGAACATGTCGCGCAGACCGCAACAAAAAGTGTCTTAGAGCATCCTCTGGTGGGCCTATAGCGAAGCCAAGACGCTTCGCCACTGCTTGATACTTCTCGGGGAGGCGTAAGACTCGGGTACAGGGGACTCGGGCTGGCCTGACGGGGGTAGCTGCTGGGGGTTTAGAGCTCACTGGTCATATACTTTGCTAAAGTACTTGGCGAACCGCCCGAACCCCTCTTCCGACACGTCTGGTGGTGCGACGGGGAGACTGATAAGGAGGGGGGGAATGAGCAGGAGGGGGAGAACGAGGGCAGCAGGGGGGCGGAAGGAGGAAGGAGAATGAGCCCCCCCTCCCTCCCCCATCCTCCAAATTCCTCTCTCCTCCGCGTCCTCCTCTCCTCTTCCTCACGCCTCTTCCCTCCTCCTGCTCCTCCTCCTCCTGCCTCCCTCCTGCTCCTTCCCCCGCCTGCGTCCTCGTCCTCCTCCTGCCCCTCCGTCCACCCGCGCGTGGGACTCCCCGCTCCCTCTCCCCCCCCCGACCCCTCCGTTTCCCATTCTCCTGATCCTCTTCCTCCTCCTCCTCCTCCTCCTCCTCCTCCTCCTCCTCCGCGTCCCCTCCTCCTCCTCCTCCTCCTCCTCCTCCGCGTCCTCCTCTTTCCTCCTCCTCCTCTGCTCCTCCTCTCCTCCTCCTCCTCTCCTCCTCCTCCTCTCCGTCCTCCTCTTTTCCTCTTCCTGCTCCTCTGCGTCCTCCTCCTCCTCCTCCTCCTCCTCCTCCCTCTCCGCGTCCTCCTCTTTTCCTCCTCCTGCTCCTCCTCTTTCCTACTCCTGCCCTCCGCGTCCTCCTCCTCCTCCTCCTCCTCTCCTCCTCCTCCTCCTCCGCGTCCTCCTCTTTTCCTCTGCGTCCTCCTCTGCGTCCTCCTCTGCGTCCTCCTCCTCCTCCTCCTCCTCCTCCTCCTCCTCCTCCTCCTCCTCCCCTCTCCTCCCGCTCCGCTCCGCTCCGTCCCGCTCCTGCCCCCGCGCCGCCCCCCCTCCCCTGCCGGGTCGGGGGGGTCTTCCAGCGCTGGGGCCTTGTACTGCTGGTCCCCCCCGGGCTTCTGCACGACGTAGGCGGTGGCCACCTGCCTCAGGACGTCGATCTTTAGCGGGGTCTCCTCGCGGGCGTGCGGCCCGAGACGGCCTCCCCCCGTGCCGCGGCGACGAGGGCCCCCTCCGTCCCCAGGAGGCCCCATCCAGAAGGCAGAAAGGCAGAGGCATCAGAGTCCTGCCCTGCCACCCTGCCTCGTGCCTCCGCCCCCTCCTCTGGTCGAGGAGGGACCTGTGGAGGCCTCCCGGAGGGGGGATGGGGTCACTGGGAGCCCCTGGAAGCCTGCGGGGGGCCCACTAGAGACGCAGCACGAAGAAAAGTCGGTCCTCGCTCCTCCTCCTCCTCCTCCTCTTCCCTCCTCCCTCCCCCTTCCCCCTCGTCCTTCCCTTCGTCCTCTTCATTCTCCAATCGTCGCATTGGTTCGCGGTGTTGAAATCCCAGGGTTGATGTTCGGGCACGATTCAAAATTCTCAGGACCCAACGGTCAGTCACGTTAATTCGCGGCGCTGGAATCCCAGGGATGGAATTTTGGCACTATTCAGGATTCTCATACGGTAGCCTCTCAATGGCACTTCCCGCAATGCACGCACACTCTTGTAGGAACTTTTGACGAGTGATATTGAAAGGAGCCTTTTCTGCAGCATCGTCGACGCGTGCTGGTTTACCCTGGCCGTCCTCCTCCTTCTCGCTCTCGTCCTCGTCCTCCTCCTCCTCCTCCGCCTCCTCCTCCTCCTCGTCCTCGTCCTCGACCTCGTCGTCCTCGTCCTCGTCCTCCTACTCCTCCACCTCGTCTTCCTCCTCCTCCTCCTCATGCTCCTCGCTCCTCGCTCATCCTCGCTCCTCGGTCCTCCTCCTCCTCCTCCTCCTCCTCCTCCGCCTCCTCCGCCTCCTCATCCGCCTCCTCCTCCTCCTCCTCCTCCTCCTCCTCCTCCTCCTCCTCCTCCTCCTCCTCCTCCTCCTCCTCCTCCGCCTCCTCCGCCTCCGCCTCCTCCGCCCCTCCTCCTCCTCCTCCTCCTCCTCCTCCTCCTCCTCCTCCCCTCCTCCTCCTCCTCCTCCTCCTCCTCCTCCTCCCCTCCTCCTCCTCCTCCCCTCCTCCTCCTCCTCCTCCTCCTCCTCCTCCTCCTCCTCCTCCTCCTCCTCCTCCTCCTCCTCCTCCCCCTCGCCCCCTGGCCCCCAAGGGGCCCAGGCTTCCGATGGCTCCCGCTGCCTCTCGAGCCGACGGGGCCCCCTGCAGGACCCCCCACTGCCCCGGGGGCCATGTGGGGGCCCGCGCTGGAAGGCAACTCCGCCGACCCTGTCGGCACTTTCGACTTTGACACGTCGACCTCGAAATCGACCTCGACCTCGACCTCGACTCCGAGATCGAGATCGAACTCGAGTTCGTTTGTCGGCGCGTGGGCAATGCCTCTCCCCGCCCAGCGGCTGCTCCGCGCACTGGCGTGCTGCGGCTCAAGCTGCCGCCCGGCCCTCTTCTGCCTCGGCGGGCTGCTTCTCGTGCTGTTCCGCCTCTCTCCCTTGCTCTGCACCGTCTTCGGTGCCTGAGGCAGCCTGCGCGTTGCTCACTCGCCGACTCTCGGCGATTGGGCCCGTCCCTCCTCCTCCCGCCGCCGCCGCCGTCGTCATCGTCATCATCATTGTCGTCGTCGTCGTCGTTCTCCTCCTCCTCCTCCTCCTCATCCTCCTCCTCCTCCTCCTCCTCCTCCTCCTTCTGCTCCTCCTCCTCCTCCTCCTCCTCCTCCTCCTCCTCCTCCTCCTCATCCTCCGCGGCAATCGTCGTCTCTCCCACCCGCTTCAGCGCCCGCACCCGGCACGCCCTGCCGTTAGCGACCCCCGCGCCCTCGCCCGCTGGCGCCGCCAAGTAAGAGTTAGAAGCTTCTCGGCATGACGCAAGAGGGCTCCAAGACGGCCCCAGGCGACGAACATCATGGATGTTCATTGCATGCGTTCCTGTGTGTTTCGCGTCCTCGCCTTCTCGTCGACGTCGACGTCGTCGTCGTCGTCGCCGTCGCCGTTTTCGCCGTTTTCGCCGCCGCCGCCGTCGTTGTCATCGTCGTCTTCGTCGTCGTCGTCGTCGTCGCCGTCGTCATCGTCGTCGTCGTCATCCCTCATCACGGTCGGCTTGGCGGCACCGGCCGTAAGGCCTCCACAACAGTGTTTGCCGGCGGCCTGCCCGACAGGAGAGGGAGGATGAGACGGAGGGGCTCTACGAGAACGTCGAGGCTGAACGTGTTCGGGCGTTGCCGTCGATTCTCGGCGCTTCTGCATCCTCGGCATGCGTTCCAGCGGCCGCGCCTCGCCGAGAGCGTTCCAGGGGTGCCCAGATCGCCAGGGCCCGAGTCATGACCCGAACACCGAGCTGGGCCGCCGGAGGCCCGAGTTACGGCACACTCGGCGGCGCGCGGAGGAGGGGAGTGATGAGGGAGGCGGGCCCTCTCAGACGGCAGCGGCGCTTCTCAGACGCCCTCCAGCCTTCTGAGAAGCCGCCCCCTGTGGAGGTGGTGGAGGAGGAGGAGGAGGAGGAGGAGGAGGAGGAGGAGGAGGCGGAGGAGGCGGCCTTTCGAGCCTTCTGAGAAGGCTCGCTCTCTCTCTCTCTCGCTTCCACCCTGGGCGCGCCGCCGAGAGTGAGGACCGATGACTGCGGCCCCGGTGCCCCTGGATCGGGCCCACTGGCTACCAGCCTCGAGCGTATCCCTATCCCCAAGATTGACACGCCAAAAGGCGATGACAATCTTAGGGATTCGCCCTCAAAAAATAAGGGGCTCCCTAAGATTGGCATCGTGATGGGGAGGTGCCCAGCATAGGGATAGGGATATGTTCCAGGCTGGTAAACTGTATCGGCCCCACGGCCCGAAGTCGGCCCCCCGATGCCAAAGCCATGGGGACAGAAGCGCCAGCGCCGACAACAAAAAAGGCACGACGCCGCCGGCCTGCCCGCCGCCCCGTGAGACGAAGCCATAACCAGGACAACATTCGGACCGCGACAGATCGGGGACCTCTGAGATCGGGCGGTTCTGGATAACATGTGTGTTGGTCGCCGCGGCCGTTCCACGAGCGCCCCGGAACGCTCTGAAAGCGTTCCGGGACGTTCTGGAGGAGGTGGAGAAGGAGGAGGAGGATGAGGAGGAGGACGAAGAGGAGGAGGAGGAGGAGGAGGAAGAGCAGGAGCAGGAAGAGGAAGAGGGAGGGAGGAGGAAGGAGGAGGAGGAGGAGAAGGAGGAGGAGGTGAGGAGGAGGAGGAGGAGGAGGAGGAGGAGGAGGAGGAGGAGGAGGGGGAGGATGAGGAGGAGGAGAGAGGTGGAGAAGGAGAGGAGGAGAAGGAGGAGGAGCAGAAGCAGGAGGAGGAGGAAGTGGAGGAAGAGGAGGATGCGCAGGAGAGAGCAAGAGGAGGAGGAGCAAGAGGAGGAGGAGGAGGAGGAGGAGGAGGAGGAGGAGGAGGAGGAGGAGGAGGAGGAGGAGGAGGAGGAAGGCCAGATGAGAGGAGGAGGAGGAGGAGGAGGAGGAGGAGGAGGAGTCCCGGTCCTACCGCCCCTTGCCCTCCCCAGCAGCTCCTGGCTGGGAAACTTCGGGAACCGGAAGGGGCGCGCGGAGGAGATGGGCGCCTGTCTGCGAGTGGTGCCTTGCGTAGAGGCCGCCCCCTCCGACCACTTGCAACTCGCTTCAGCAATGTTCGCGAGCTCCGATATCAGAGGGGAAGGAAGGAGAACGAGGAGGGAGAAGAAGGATGGATGAGGAAGAGGCGGAGGAAGGTTGAAGGAGGACTGGTGAAGGGAGGAGGAGGAGGGCGAGGAGCAGGAGAAGGAGGAGGAGGAGCAGGAGAAGGAGGAGGAGGAGAAGGAGGAGGAGGAGGAGGACTAGTGTAAACTCTAGAATCATCAACGATGTTTGAATAAACCATCCCTCTAAGCTCCCTGTTCATAGGCCCCTACAACGCTTCATTTCCACTGAGGGAACTGCCTCGTTGGAAGACGACCGTTTGAAGACCCTGGAGCATGCCAAAACATTGTTCTCGTGATTCCAAAGCCACGGATCAACCCGATTGTTGCGTCTAGACGATCCTACATCGCGCCAGAACGCCATTCCTGGGACTGCAACGCCGCGAATCAACGTAACTGCTGCACCGTCATAGTTCCGAACCCTTCCAACACAAAATGTCTGGTACGTTGATCATGAGAACCCGTGAAACTCTTGCAAATCTTTGAAACGAATGTGCGAGGCGCTGAAGCGAGAACCAAATGTTGAACACCACCCGCCCTCAGTCCGTGAGGCTCCTGCAATTCTTTGAAGCGAATGTGCGAGGCGCTAAGGCGAGAACGCCATGTTGAAAACCACCCGCCCTCCATCTGTGAACCTCTTGCAATTCTTGGAAGGCGAATGCGCGCTGCGCGAACGCGAGATTCACAATTTGAAAACCACCCGCCCTCAATCCGCGATGCTCTTGCAATTTGTTTAACAAATGTGCGCGGCGCTAATGCGAAAACCACATTGTGAAAACCACCCGCCCTCAATCCGTGAAGCTCTTGCAATGTGTTAGACGCATGTGCGCGGCGCTAAGGCGAGAACCACATTTTGGAAAGAAGCCGCAACTGTTTAAAACGAATGTGCGCGGCGCTGCAGCGAGAGTCGCATTTTGAAAACCACCCGCCCTTCGTCTTTGAAGCTCCTGCATTAAAAAACGAGCGTGCGCAGCGCTAATGCGAGAGCCGCATTTTGGACACCACTCGCCCTCCATCTGTGAAACTGTTGTGAATGTTTAAGCTTCAAGGTCATAAGCGGTGTGAAAATCTAAGACCAAACGCACGGCCCGCCCTAAAAACTGGCCTCGGGGTGCGACAGGGAGAGGTTATTATGAAGGAAAGGGAGCGGGTGATGATGATGAGAAGGAAGAGGAGAAGGAGGGGTAGATGTGCAACCCTCGAACGTTGTGGTGTTGGGACGGCCAGTGATTATTTTTTCTTTCCATTTGCGAGATCAGGAGGCCGCTGTCACCCCCCACAAGATCGGTGGGAAAAATGGGCCCAGCCTCCTCCTCCTCCTCCTCCACCTCCTCCTCCACCTCCTCCTCCTCCTCCACCTCCTCCTACTATTCCTCCTCGTCCTCCTCCTGCCTTTCTCCTCCTCGTCCTCCTGCTCCTTCTTCTCCTCCTCCTCCTCCTACTCCTCCTCAATCCTTCTCCTGTTGAAGTCCCTGGAATGGTGTTCTGGCACGATTCAGGGTCGTCAAGACGCAGCCGTCATATGAATTCTCGGCGCAGGGGTCCTGCAGATGGTGTTGGGGCATGCTTCAGGCGCTGCACCTCCCTGCTAACGGCCCCTCAGGCTGCAGCGGGGGCCCGCTGCTGTCGCCGCCGCCCGGCCCCTCCAGTGCATCTGAGTCGGGCTGGGTGGGTGGGGGGGCGCCGCTCCCTCGAGGGCCGCGATGAGGTTCTGCCGGCGAGATCCTCGCCTTCTGCTGCTGCTGCTGCCCGCGTGTCGTCCTCCGAGATCGCGAAGAAGTGCTCCACTTCGACGGGCAGCTCTGATCGGGGCCTTACCGTTGATGCGCTTGGATGCCCTCGGCGAGGCCCACGCGCATCGGGTACTGTTTGGCCACGAGCGTGCAAACTCATCCTTGTACGAGGTCTTCTCCGAGCAGCTGGTGGTGACCTCTTCGGCCATGGTCGCGGCGTCCTCGAGTGGGGCTGCTCTATCAGGTGGGTGTTTCGTGTAGCTGGCGCTAACGGTGAGCATCCCGGTGGGCTTCATGGTCTTGGCGCCTAGCATTTACTGGTAGAAAAAAACACGTGCTCTGCCTCATCGTTTGATTATATCGCCATCTCTCCGGGCAGAAGTCAGATGCTCGGTGCCGAAGCTGGCCGCGAGGGTCTGGGTGCTCGTCGATGCCCATGGTACCTGACTAGGTACTTGTGGGTACTTGTCTGCGCCAGTAGAAACGTAAGACGAAGTAGCACGCTGCCGACCTGCAGCGGTGTCCGTGACTTCATGGTGGTATCCTGGAAACCCCCAGAGCGCGCTGCCGCTGCGAACTGGGCGAGGCTGCTTGCGGACTCCTTCGGTCAAGTTGAAGCGTGCCGCGGGCCACGTTTCGCGCGTTGGTCCAGCTAGCCAGGCCGCCAACGCGCCTTCGCATGCCGCTGCGCACCAGAAGACGCGCGCCTCTAGGTCGCCAGCGTCGCCCTTCTCGCCGTAGATCATGTCGACGTTGAGCGCGTGGATGATGGCATGGCCCCTGTGCTCGCGTTCTTTCCAAATGCAGCCGAGCGTCGCCCGCCCTCCCCCCGCCGCCTGAAGAGTGGGCGGCGCAGAAGCTCGGGTGGCCGATGCCGTGCTGCGGCTGCAGTCCACTCATTTTTCTTGAGGTCGTCAACCTCTTTGTCTGCTTGCCTCGTCTGCGCGGGCATCGGGAGTACACCCTGCGAAATGCTTAAGAAATCATGGGTTAAGAAAATCATAGTCTCAGAACTTGAATAAAAACCCAACGTGTCTATTAAAATCTTAGGATTTACATTGAAACATTGAGAATAATCGAGACTCTGGCCGAAAACTTTGGTTTTCTTAAGCATCGCCTGGAGTGTACTTGACAGTGCTCGCTTGCTTCCAGCCGCTCCCGCGGGGCATCCGGGCCATGTGGTTGCCTGCCGTCGCCCAGGCAGTCCTCAAGCGTGGCGTGCTTCACTGGGGTCATTGCCTTGCGCCTCCAGAGGTCCCTGCCTCTTGAGCTCCGCCGCCTCTTGCTGCTCCCCCTGCTTACAGGCGGCCAGCTCCACGTCCGTGAGGGGCTGCGCCCTTTCCATGGCGTGAGCTAGGCAGCTGCTCTCTTTGCCCTGAGTTTTTGTTTTGAATACTGTTTCATAAAAAAAACTCGCTCTCGTGCCGAAGCGCTGCGATCAATGATCGCATGCCGCCCATCTGGTTCCATCGGTCTGCCGCGCCGCACTCCATATGGCACTCGGCCGCGTGCACGTCGAGGCCCCTTGCTCTGGCGCGCGTGGTCCCGCACGCGTAGAAGATGTGGCCGACGTCCTGCGCCTCTTCGTGCTCGCCCTCGTTTTGCTCGTCATCGATCGTAGTGACGTCGAGTGCCCCTGCAGTAGCTTGCTGCGGCTTCGTGCCTGCCGCCTTACTTCCTTTCGCCCTGTGGTGAGGAGTTGCTGGCAGGCGCGTCAACATCTATGCCTGCCCTGGGCTTGGTCACGCCGGCTCAAGAATTTGTATGGCTGTGCTCCGCGCAGCTGTACGTAGACAAACGCCCAATCATGTTTCTGTGCTGGGCATGTCGTCGACAGTGACGCAGCTGCGAAACCGTCGGGTGTCCAACTTGATCTGACCAGCCCAGCTTTCGCCCGGATCTGCTGTGAGGCCGCGAAGCCTCAGGAGTTACGGGCAGGCCTCTCCGAGAACCTTGGGTGGTGGCCTCTGCCCGAGGTTGGATAGGAGTGCCTTCAAGTCCTCGATGCCCGCCTGGGCCTGGACCTGGCCGTTGGTGAAGCGCTTCCCGTGGCAATTCGTCATGGATGTCGCGGGCCTGAACGTCTCAATGTATGCTCCGTCCATTTCTGCGAGCTGTTCTGGCTTGAGCTTCGGCCAACTGTACTTCCGCGTCGCTACTGCCGACAGGCCATTGCGAATACCACTTTGCGAATCATTTCCGATGCTCGGCTCTGCTTGCCTTTTTTATCTGGACTTCTCCCCACATGCTCTGGTCGTCCGTCTGTGTGGCTCCAAGGTGGCATTGCCTCTTGGTAGCGTGGACCGGGACCTCGATGCCAGGGACGTGGATCGCAGGTTGCCTGCCTGTGGACAACTGTGCGCGCACCGTGGTTCAGCGGTCGCCCCTGAGTGAACACAGGGCTTCCGTTTTGCCTTTTTTGCTGTGGGTGGGCAGCCCGAAGGAGTGGAACGCGTCGTGGAACACTTTGGGCAACGTGGCGAACTTCTGCGGCAAGTCAAAAAGCAGTTGGCGACAGCCGTCGTGATTCAGGAGTCGTCCACGAACGTGTTGTCGCTCGCCGGCTGCCAGCCCGCCTCACCTTATACTCGAAGGCGGCGCGGGACTTCGGGCAGCTTGGTGCGCGCGACTTCTTGACCGACGTTCGCAGCGAGTTTGTTCGGCACCCTGGAGTAGAGCGCGCTGAAGAACAAGTCGGTGTTCTTGCCTGGTCCTGTGTCTCTACCCGGCTGGACAATCTTGTCGCTGCCGGGCACCTTGAACCATGGTGCACGGCATGATTCTTCGAAAGCTGCGCTGGTGCGCTGCCCGCGTATCTTGGCGTCGATGACGTTAGGTTGGGCCGCCAGCTCCCGCATGATGCAATGAAACTTCTGAGGCACCTGCACTTTGGATATTGTCTCCTCTGTTTCCTCTTGGGAGTTCGGGAGGTCGAAAAGGAACTGGTGCAACACGTTGTAGAACGCCGATTTCACACCCAGGAAGTACACGATTGCACTTGCACCCTGTCCTCCTACTCCTCCTCGTCCTCCTCCTCCTCGTCCTCCTCCTCGTCCTCGTCCTCCTTCTCCTCCACCTCCTTCTCCTCCTCCTCCTCCTCTCCTCCTCCTCTCCTCCTCTCCTCCTCCTCCTCCCCTCTCCTCCTCCTCCTCCTCCTCCTTCTCCTCCTTCTCCTCCCTTCTCCTCCTCCTCCTCCTTCTCCTCCTCCCCTCTCCTCCTCCTTACCCTCCTCGCCTCATCCTCATCGTCATCCGAGCTCGGAGCTCGCGCCCGTGCCGGAGAAACAGGCCGGAGCGGTCGGGGGGGATGGCGGTACTCTGGGCCTGCGCGGATGGACAGGACCATGTCGCTCCCGATGCCGCGGTTCGAAAGCAGAGAGACCTGCATCGGTAAGGCTTCGGGCTGCGCGCAGACCGCCCCACCCCCTACGTGGGCGATTTCGAAAACCTTGGACCCGAAAACGTTTTCATCTCTTGGGGGCACATCTTTACTTTCGCCGCCCTCCGCCGAGCTTCCGCCTGCTTCCGCCGCCCTCCCGCCGAGGAAGAGATGACATCCCTCTTTCTATCCTCGAAGGCAAGGTCATTTTTGGAACGCCACACTGGCCATCGCTCGGACGTCCGTTTCCTTTGCATTTGTTCGGTTTCGTGTGTGGTTTTTTCGCGAAATGATCAAGGATACTCCTAGATGGTCCCCGCCGAAGGGAAAATGCACACGTCCGAGCGATGCCAAGCACATGCAGCCCCAAGTGGCCTCAACACGACCCCCGGGTAGTCCAGAGCGGTCTCCACACCCTGGCGCCGCCTCAGGCGGCGCCCCTGGTACGCTCCGCGCCCCGAGATTGAAGTGTCGAGACCGTCCCGGGCCACTCGTGGGGGCCTGTCGAGGCCACTCTGGGAGCACTCGGGGGGGGGCCGCTGAGGCCAGCTGGGACCACTCGGGGGGCCTGTTGAGGCCCTCCTCCTCCTCCTCCTCCGCCTCCTCCTCCTCCTCCTCCGCCTCCTCCTCCTCCTCCTCCTCCTCCTCCTCCTCCTCCTCCTCCTCCTCCTCCCCCTCGTCCCTTTTCCCCTTCGCCCCCCAGGCCAGCGAGCCTAAGCTGGGACTACTCGGGGGGCCTGTTGAGGCCAGCTGGGGACACCCGGGGGGCTGTCTTTGCGCATCCCGAAATTACCAACCTGCATCGCCCCTCCTCGCCCCCCTCAGATTCAGGCGCGGTGAAAAAGTGTGCGACGGTCGTGTTATTCCACACTTCTCTACTAACCACATGCTGGAGCGCACTGCCTCTGCCTCACCGCCGACGAAAAAAGTGTTACCCCCGACTTCGGGACCAGGGACCCTGACAGATTGACTTACCTCGATGCATGCTGCGGATGGATGGGGTCGGAGACTGTCGAACTTGCTTCCGCGACGCCGTGATGTTTTTAACACGTGGAACTATCGGGGGCATGTCGTCCTCCTCCCACCCCTCCTCCTCGTCCTCCTTCTCCTCCTCGTTTTTCCCATTCTTCTGCTCCTTCCCGTCCTTCCCCCCCATGGGGCGAAGGTTCTTGAGCAGAGGGACCTCCATGGTGTTCACGGAGGTCCAGCGAAAGGAGCCGTTCTGGCGCAGCGATGGGACGCAGGCAGCCCGTACTCGGCACTGCGGCTGTTACGACAGCGGGAATCAACGGGTCTGGGCCAAAATGGCTATGAGCTCCTTCTTCACCGGATCGACGACAAGAAGACTTAGCGACCCTACGTAGTGGATTGCACAGGCTGTCAGGGCGGCACACTGCGTGGAGAACGAGAGCGCTTGCGCGCGACCTTACGCGGGGAGATACACGCCAATGTCCGCGCAATCGACCCCGTTTTCTTCCGTCGCTCATCTGGCAGCTGCTTTCCATTTCGATTATCTTCTGTTCGGCCGGTTCCTACTGTGACTCCTGTTTTCCAGCCGCTGCCCTATCCTGTGTTGGCATGGCCTTTCCACTGGTCTGGAGACCACATGGAGTGATACGTACACGTGTATAGCTATATATCTATGTATATGTATACACACTTCTGTGTGGATTTATAAACAACATCCAACATGTACAGGCGTACACCTACATGTGTACGAATAAAGAGAGAGAGAGAGAGAGAGAGAGAGAGAGAGACAAAAAAACACAATACATAAAGACAGAGAGAAAACGTGAGACAACGCGAAAGAGAGAGAGAGAGAGACAACGAGAGAAATAACACAAACGATCAAGGGATAAAGAGAGAGCGACAGAGAGACAAAGAGAGAGAGAGAGAGAGCGAGAGAGAGAGAGAGATAGAGAACGAGAGAGAGAGATAGCGATAGAGAGAGAGAGAGAGAGAGAGCGGCAGGAGAGACAGAGAGAGAGAGAGAGAGACAGACCAGAGCAGGGAGACGGGGGGAGAGAGAAAGACATAGAGAAAGGTAGGTCTGATCCTTCCAGGGCTGCGCAAAGCAGGAAGTGGCTCGCGCTGCTAGGACTACAGGCTCGGCTCGTCTGGAAATCGCCCGTTCCCGATGACGCTCGCCCGCCAACTTTGTCCCTCCCACCCAACGGTTCTAAGCGGTAGTGTCCGTTGGATTGGCTGGGGGAGGGGGAGCGCGCTGCCAACGATCCACCTAATCGATGCCCCTGGACGCAATGCGTAACGAGACACACCGCTACAGAACACGTCGTGCTCACGCCTACTTTGAAGCAGTCGGCATACTTGCAAACACATAAAACAACTGAGCAATGTCTAAGTCTACCCGCTCTTTCCATCCCCTCACCAATCCAACCACAGGCTGTGGAAGAGCGGTGCAAGGCGCCAAGGCGGCTGGGCGAGCGGACTCGCGACGAACCCACTCACATATATATATATATATATATATATACATACATAAGTGTAAATACACATCCATACATGCATGCATACATACATATCGACGTATAGAAAGAGAAGGAGAGAGAGAGAGAGAGAGAACAAGCGAGAGAGAGAGAGAGAGAACTGAAGACACAACAGGGGCATAATATTGGACCCCCGTGACAGAGCGCAAGTGCCCCACGCTTGTGTATATCTCCTGGCTTCTCGGACTAACCTGCCCACGTCATGGTTTGAACACTTCTGGTTAGAATGCCTGGCTTGCATCGGAATTCCATCGGTAAGCTCCGAGTTCATCCATCTCCTCACACCACTCCCTGGCACTTCCCCGACTGCTGCTTTTCCTCGTGTGACACACACACACAGCGAGGTCAAGCGTCATGTGCTACCAAAGATAATTCCACAGCGGCAGGCCGATGCGAAACTATCACGCAGCAAAAACCTTGGGTACGCTAGGGTGGGCGGTGTCTCCAAGGACTCGTCTCCGCCTGATCGCCTGCTTGGGGCCTTTAGGCGATCACCCTCCCAGCCACTGGGGAGGTAGGTTAAGCAGGATAAGAAGGGAGGAGGAGGAGGAGGAGGAGGAGGAGGAGGAGGAGGAGGAGGAGGAAGAGCGAGACGACGTGCGATCGTGCCTGGCATTTCTTCTCCTTCCTCTGTGGTGCGATGTTTTGCAATCGCTGCTGCCCCCCCTTGCAACACAACGACCATCATTCACCGCGACGCCGCAGGTCAGCGCCGCTTCCTCATCGTCTTGGCCTCGCTCTTGGAATTAATCGCTGCACTACTGATCGGCATATGCACGGCTTGTTTTTTTAGACTGCCCTCCACGTGTCTGCTGCTGTGCCCAGAGACCTCAGAGGAGCATCAACCTAAGTGATCGTTTGCATGCCCATCTCGTAATCTGAGTCGCCCTGCTCGTGTTCTACGCGCTGCGCTGCTGCCTTCGGTGGGATCAAGTTGTCAGAACACATGTTGGGCCTGCTTCCAGCCGCACGGTGTGGAATAAAGGATGTGCCTCACAATGCTTGCACCTGCTGTCCTACCGTCGCTGCTCTGGCGTCAAGTCCTGCCATCCTTGGCTAGGAAGCTGGGTCCTTCCGGGTATTCTGGCTCATTGCCGTATTCCTTTCGCGGCTGGGCGCGCTGCTAGCCTGCCGGCTGCTCATAATGCGTGAACGGCCCCAACGAGCCGCACACACACACGCACACTCATGTGCTTCTGTATGGGTGTGCTGCCGAGGCGTCCCACGGAAAGGCGTGCCCAGGCAAGAAGGGCATCGCTCCCCGCTTTGTTTTCGGTGGCAGATATTCCAGCATCTGCGTCACTCTATAGCATGCCACCCCAGTGGTCCGCACCATCTGCAAGTCCTATGTTTCGGATGGCGTATGCATCTCGCGGGCCTCTTGGCCAAGCAACCACCGTGCTCTGTGGTGGCAGATCTTACGGAAGCGCCGTTTCGCTTGGCCCACGCGTGGAGGCGACAGAAACACGGCCACCAGAACGCGGATCAAGAACGTGCGCCCCTTCGCCGAGGGACCGAAGGATCGTGGATATACCCTACGCAGATAGGGCTGCCGCGCTGAGTGATACCGCTGCTCGAGCATGTGCTACCGAGTCCTGCCCACGCACAAGACCGTACTCTCCACCCAATGTCTGCTCGCCTCACCGCGTGCTCGGCTGGCCAGGCCAGACGTTCTGGCTGGAGAGTTGGTGGGCGCATCGCCAGGCTCGCGGTCATACCTGTGAGAGCTCGCCTGCCAACCAGACACAGGCTGTGTAGCTGGGCATTGCTGGACATATGCATCGCACGCATACCTGGATCCTTACGGACTGCTGCCCTCCTCCTCCGCCACCTCCTCCTTCCTCTTCCCCCCTCTGCCCATGCGCCAACCACCAGGACCGGGATGAAGAGGAGCAGAGGATGAGGAGGAGCGAGAGGGATGAGCAAGAAGGAGGGAGGATGGAGTCCTCCTCCTCCTCCTCCCTCAAAGAAGAAAAACAAACAGCAGAAACAGACACTTTCGAGGGTCAGCGCGGATCTCTTGGATCTGCGCTGGGCCCCCCTTCCCTGGAACGCGGAGCGCGCCAGGGGCGGCGCCAAAGGCGGGGGCTCAGCGCACCCAAGAAATCCGTGCAGACCTCCAAGAGTTTATGCTTTTACCGTTTTTTCTGCCCCCATCTCCTTCGACGATCACGACGACAGCGGAGACGACGCCAACGACGAAGACGGCGTCGACGACGTCGACGACGACGACAACGACGCCCCGCGGCCCGGCCGCAGCCACGCAGGCCTTCCAGGCACCAGGGGCAGCTCCCTGACGCCTGAGCTGCGGGCCACCCTCACGCGACTGCGCGCGCCCGACCCTTGCGCCGTGTGAGGAACTGCGCGTCCCAGGGCGCAGTCGGTCATCATCAGCATCAGCATCAGCATCAGCATCAGCATCAGCATCAACATCACCATCTTAATCACCACCCTCATCCTCATCCTCATCGTCATCTTCATCATCGCCATCATCATCCTCGTCCTCATCCGCATCCTCATCCTCATCCTCCGCCACATCCTCATCCACATCCTCATTCTCCTCCTCATCATCGTCGTCGTTATCATCATAACCATCGTCACCATCGCCACCAGTATTGTTAACCAGATCGTCATCATCATCAGCAGCAGCAGCATCATCATCGTCATCATCATCACCACCACCACCACCCATCATCATGATCATTGGGGGAACCGGATGTGGACAGAACGCTATTTAGCAATACGCTCTTTGTTGACATCTGCCTGGTGCACTCCACTGGCGCGCGGCACCGCGCTCCGCGGACCCCTGCGGGGCAGCTCGACGACGCTCACAAAGACAACCGAGTACATACGGCGAGACGCACGTCGATTATAGCGAAACCAGCTTGGGACCGTTCAGGCGCACTCGAATGCCAGTGTCGAGTACACTGGTGCAGATCTCCTGTCGACTCGTCTGGGTGGGCGCTCTCTAGAGGCCTCCTAGATGGGGTCGGAGCAGATGGGGTCGGAGGATCTCGCCGCATCGCCGATACATCGGCGATGCACTGGCGACGTCGGCGACGCATCGGCGACGTCGGCGTGGGGAAGCGCGGGCTCCACGTCGAGCCGAATCGTCGATGCATCGGCGATGCGGCGCGCTCCTCCGACCCCCTCTGCTCCGACCCCATCTGGGAGGAGGCCTGGATTCCCTCAATGCCCGAGGCAGGAGGAGGAGGAGGAGGAGGAGGAGGAGGAGGAGGCGGGGCAGCAGCCCCACCAC